GGAAGGGCGGGTGGGTGGGGAAGGCTGCCTGATCCGAGTGGGGCAATCTTGGGGGTTTTAACCACAGCATGCACACCATGAAGCAGACCGTGGCTGAGACACTGGTTCCTGATCAGGGCCAGCCGGGAAAATGTGTAACCCAGCTGGGCTCTGCAGATGGTACAAAGCCAGGAGGAGAAAGAGCTGTGACTGGCATTTCCCCCATGGGTCCCTGTCTGTGGCGGCGTGGAAGGAAGAGCCCTGCTAGGGAGACACCGACCCTCAGCCCCCAGGGAGCCCTGAGGTCCGCTCCTTCTGGATCCATGGCTGTGGGCAGCACATACGCGCTGAGACCAGGCCAGCCTCCAGGTGCCATGTGAACACCTGCCACGGGGCACTATCCTGGCTAGAAAGGCTGTGCTGAGGGTCAGCGAGGAGACCGGAGCTCAGCCACCATCCACAGGGTGATCCGTGAAGACAAAGGCTGATGCTTCTCCCACTGCCAGCTGCTAGATCTCCCGCTCCCCTCGGCCAGCCTCCCTCTGCCTCCCTTCCTCATGAACGCCCTGGAGGCCCAAGTCTGACCCCAGATAGCCTTCTGGGACCAGCCCCGGCAAGAAGGCTTTGCTGGCAGGTGGCGGAAGAAAGCCCCATGCAGCTTTGCAAAGTGGCTCTGTGGGCCATGCCCTGAAGAAATCCAGCAGAGGCCAGCGTCCCTCCTCCCAGGCCCTGGCAGGCACACTGAAGGCCCCAGAGGGCCTGTCCACAACCAGCCCCGCTCCTCTCCTTCTCTGGGTCCCTGAGCCCTGGTCCTCAGGTGGAGGGGCCAAGTTGCCTGGTCCCTGATGTCCATTCTGGCCCCGGGTGAGGCCCGGATTCCAGGCTGTGCTGCTTCCTGGGGATCGGGCGGCTCTGGCTCCCTCTCCCCGTGCTAATGCCCACGCCTCCTCGACACCTTTGAAACTGTGTCTTCACGTGGCAGCCGTGGTCCCAGGCATCAGCGGGTGGAAATAACTTGTCTTGACAGCTCCTATGATGTTGCATCTTTTGTGTTGATCAAAACAACAAAACGAATCAGACGCTCAGCAAGTGATTGAAGCCTAATTGGAAATCCAAAGTGGCACTAAATGTTAGGGTCTAAATAAAACACATTCAGTTACTGAGACTCGGCTCCGGAGCTCTGGGGAGAGTGCCGGCAAGGAGCTAAGAAGCGGGCTGCAAAGTTCGGGTGCCATGACTGGTGCCCCTGCATGTTTCTGGAGGAGACCAAGGACGGTGAGCCAGGAGCCTCATCCCAGCCCAGAGCTGGGGCCAGAGCGGAGCTGAGCCAGCTTGGGTGCAATGCTTCCTAAGTGCTCACACCGGCGAGAGTTTTCCTTTGCCAGACAAGGCCACCTGGGGACTGGGCAATGGGGCAGGCAGGGGTGTGGCGACGTACCCCACTGGGTCCCCGAACCGCTACTTCTGTCACTTCTCGCTCTGCCTCTGATCAGCCTCAAGATCCCCTTTTGCAGGTCACATCATCTTGCCATGCCTCAGTTTCCCCATTTGCCAAAAGAGGGGCTGACACCTGTCTTCCCAAGTCCTCTGCTGCCCAGCGATGAATGGCAGCACAGTAACTTCCTCAGGGCACAGAGGGCTTCCCAAGCCCGTCCGTGCCCCAGGGCTGTGCGGCCTCGCTTTTACTGACTTGTAAAGCGCACAGTGCACCACTACTCCAGTTTCCCAGGGTGTGTAGGTGAGGAGTCGGCGCCTGTCTCCCTCCAGTCCTAGTCCTCTGATTTGGAGCCTGGTGTAGGGAGCGGAGAGGGGAGCCAGACGGCAGCCAGGGGGCGCTGTCTAAGGAATGACGCGGTATAAACGGCGGCTCCAGTTTGGGGTGCGGCCTAACCCTGCTGTCTACCAGGATTGTTGCTCTGGGCAAATTACTTAGCCAGACTGAATTTCAGCTTTCATATCTGTGGACAGGGCTGGGAAAGTAAAACTTATTAGCTGAGGTCATGTTTGTAAATTAAAATAAGAAAAACATGGCATAAATAGTAGCTTTCAACACGTTAAATAGAGGAGGGCTGGCGGGTGTTTTTTTTTTTTTTAGGTGTGGCTACAGGTAGAGCATGATCTCTAGGGCTTGGCCTGGAGACGTGGGGGCACAAGCGTGAAAATATAACGACTGCTACTAATATTTATGAAGCAGGTAACCTGTGCCAGGTGCACCTCAGAAGGCTTCTCATGCATTAGCTCACTGGGTGTAATCCTCCTGCAGACGCCGCAGTTATGGCCTCTGACGGATGGCTACCGAAGCGCAGAGAGGCGAAGCCCCGCGCCTGAGCCTCCACGCAGTGAGTGCTGGAGATGGGACTCAGGGTGAGCCAGTGTTTCCACGGCTCACAGGAAGCTGCCCATCACCTGGCTGCACACACTCTTCCTCCTCCAGAGTCCGTCCCCAGATCTCTGTCCCCTCCTGCTCCTCACTCGCTGGTCTTGGGCTGAACCAGCTCTGGGTTCCTGCGTGGGAGGGGTGAGGCCCGGGGCCTGGAGCAGTAACTGGGCAGATCCCTTCCTGGGGGTCCCAGTAATCTCCACCACCGAGCACACTGTTTACCTCTCCGACTGCACTGTTCCCCTTCTCTCCTTATTTACCTACGCTTTGCTCATTCCCTACAGAACGCACCACTCTGAGGACATGGATTCCAGTGCATTTGTCTCCACAAGAATGTATTTAGCAGCACCGTGATTGTACTGAAAAGAGCAGAAAGAAACGCAGAAGGTACCTGTCTTCAGGTAGCCTTGTCCCGAAGATCTGTGCTGGAACACCCTTAGAAAGACCCTGTCTGTCTCTGTATACTGAAGTGATTTATCAGCAGACAGCTCTATGCATTATACACGGTAGACACTTAATGGTCCGCTGAATGAATGGATCTGTGTATGCAAATGATATGCAAATCTCTCTGATTTTAATTTGACCCTTGGGAACATCTTCAGGGACTCTTGTGGGCCTGTGCTGTTTTTAATTTTTTTAAATCCAAAGTTTTAAAACACAACCAGTGTTTTCTCTTGCGTGTGCGGAGGGAAGTGGTGTCAGGTCGGGCAAAGAAGGCTGGGTGGATAGAGCTCAACGTGTGAACCCTGGGTGGTTTGGCGGCTCAGCTGGTGACTCAGGTAAGCCAGTCCCCTCCCTGGGCATCAGTTTCCTTACCCAGAAAGGCTGGGGCGGGCGGGCGGGAGCCCTCTTGGTGTGGAGACACTGATTTTCCATCTCTCCCCTGAAACATCCCTTGGGCAGTCAGAGCAGCAGCCTTCGGCTCTTCCTACCTAGACAGAGACGTCAAAGCCTCGGCAAGGACCGGAGCAGGAGCCCATTCAGGAAATGAGGGGTTTTGGCACCAGTCTGCCCAGCCTGGGCATTGTGCTCAATCATTTCTTTCCAAACCAAAGGATTTAAAAATAAGAGGCTGAAGTGTTCTTTCTTATATACAGCAAGCCAAGCATCTGATTAACAGTGTAGGTTTGCATTTCTTTCCCTCATGTGAAAATATTTATAAAAAATTTGGATCAGAATATTAATAGCCAGGGAATTAGCTGTGCGTTGGGACCTGAACTCATGACATTGGAAATGAGGGAAAGAGGGCAAATCAAAACCCAGGCAGAGGTGGTCACTGCCGCTGCCCCCGCAGCCGCGGCCCCTGGAGCCAGGACGCCTCTCTGCCATTGGAGCAGGCGGTGATTTGCGCTCAGCTCTGGCCACACTGGGGTCCCTGGGCCTTAACTAGAAACACATGTGCTTCAAAGGCTTGGATTGAAAGCGACACATTCTAAAGCAAAAGTGCCGCAGCAATTCTCCATCCTCACTCTCCTAATCCACAAACTCCATAATTCTTCCCCAAGTCCCTCTGGGTCAGCTCTGGAAGTCGTCTCCTGGCCTCACACTCCGCCTTTCCCAGGCACAGCCCAGACCTCCCAACCCAGGCAGCAGCGGGTCCTCCTGTCACAGAGCCCCGCTCTGCCCGTGCCCTGGGAAGCCATACCGCCTGGACTAAACAAACAGGCGCAATCAAAATAACAGTCTGAAATGTCAAGACACGTGAGCAGGGACATCTGGAAGTGCGGTTCCTCATTTTTTTCTTCTCTTCCCCAAGGTCTTCAGGTGGCTTAGGGGGTTGGCAGTTTAGTAGCTTTGGCTAGAGATAGCAGACTTTCTACGTCAGCCGTGACAATACCGCCTTTGAGAGGCGTTCTTATTTTTGGCCCTAGATCTAGGATAGTAGTTGACACAGCTTCTTGCAAACTAGGAAAATAGAAGTGGCTCCCTGGTGAAGCTGGATGACCCTGTGAGAGGCAAGCTGGCCCTCCAGTCCTTCCTGGGCCCCACATGGGGTAGTCACCCCATGCAGGGAATCGCTACAAAGTTTTTCTTGTATTGAAGAGTATTGGGGAAGGGTGACTTTTCAATCTTTCAAAATAATTTTTGTTTCTCATACATCCAGGTAAAAGTTCTCTTTGCTCCCTCTCTCTTCACTACTTAAGGCAAGGCTTAAAAATGCCAGCTTCCTGCCTCCCCTTAAGGAACTCTTGGCCTGCACGTGAAAGGCTAGCCACCTGGGAGGACCCCTCCTGAGTGGCCTGGGATGCCTCCAAGAAGACTGCCGGCCAGGCCATTAAAATCAACAACCATGGATGGATGCACCCATTTCCTGACAGGGTGCTGCCCTTCCTGATGGGGTCCCACAAGGCTTTCCCAGAAGCACTGTCTGGGCCCACGGACATCGAACAGATCCCACTTGGGACTCATACAACCTTCTGCATGCCGAAAACCACCAACATGTCCCCGTGTGTTTAGGAAAATAAAAAAGTGATTCCTCTGAGTCTGGAGCACACTGCTGAGGCTGCATGGGGCAGAAAAAGGGCAGCTACTTGGGGTATACCTTGGTCCTTGGATTTCCCACTGAGCCATCTCTGGAGTCCTCACAGTTCCTATGCTCTGCAGTTTCATAGCCCTGACACACAGGGAGCCATGTACTTCCTTTTTTGTCAGCCTCGATTCTTACAGTATAGTCATAGGTCACAAGAGAGATGGGCAGCAGGATGGTAAAGAGACAAGCAGAAGAGACCACGCTCTCTTGACTTTCAAAGTGCAGGCATTGAAAGGCATTAGTTTGTCCACCTTATCTGTGGGGTTTTGTACTCTTGGAGCCCCGAGCCGCCATGTCTGCCATGAGCAGCCATGTTCAAGCGTCCTGACTCTCTTGAGGCCACCCCTGCTATGAGGAGATCTAGGACACAAGGAGAGGCCTCGTGTAAGGCACACCGGCCGACAGTCCTAACTGATCCCAGCTTCCAGTTCCCGGATGCCAGACATGGAAAAGCTTCCAGGTCATTCCAGCCCGTTGCTGCTTCCAGCCATTCATGCTATGGCAGCAGAGGCTGCAGACACTGCGGCCAGCTTCGTGTGCTCGTCTGAAGTCCCGACTCAGGCGGTCTGTGAACCTGACAAAATATTGTGCCATGCTCTTAATTTCAAAGTGGTTTACTATCTAGCAACAGGCAAACAGAACAGTATGCCAACCACTCGCCCACAGGAGGGCATTCTGAAGGGGACCTCAGGGTCACCACCTGGAGAAGGTAGCCCTGTTTCTGGTGTCTCATTTTAGGCGGCACAGATGAGAAGCTCCTGCCGAGTCCCTCGCTGGCCAGGTGTCTACACATCAGCTGGACAGACTCAGAGAGTTGGGGGATGTGGGCTCTGTGCCCTCCTTGTCCCCACAAATGCCTGCTTTCTGGCCGCCCAGCTGGGCCTGGGGCTGCCTCTCTGTGCACTGAGCGGAGCAGGACTGTTTAGTCTGCCGGGCACATTCCTGGATCTTAAAATAAATATCAGATTAGGAGCGCCTCAGCCCAGGGCTGCCATTTGGGCAGGCCAGAGTCTTCTCAGCCCCTTGGGAGGGAGAGGCAGGAAAGGGAGGTTGGAGGCCACTGCTGGAAACGGGAGTGCTATCCCTGCCATCATTTGTGGTGGGTTTGCTTCCAGCCCTCTCTGAGCTCCTTGGGAGGTTTTAATACTGCTACTACTAGTCACTAGCACTTACTGAAAGCACTGGCCACGTGTCAGGCACAGTGCGACAATTTATGTAGACACTCAGTCCTCACAAGGGTTACATTCTCGGCTCATTATACAGGGTGAAGCAACTGAGGCTCAGAGCAGTTCAGTAAGTTTCTCAAAGTCGCACACTCTGTGACTGCTATGCAGCAGAGGTGAGTCTCACTTGCACATGGCAGGTCTTAGCCAGCAGGCTGCTACCCTGCTTCTCGGGGCCTCCAATTAGACGGCAGAACTCCACGTCCCCATCCACTCCCAACGCACCACCCCTCGCCAGCCTTGCTGCTGTTCCCAGGGCTCTTTCCAGCCTGCGAGGAGCCATTCTCCACTGTGACTCCCTTTTTCCATTTCACCCTTGGCTGGATCATTTTATGCCTCTATTCCCTCTGCTAATTCAAACTAATTAAAGTATAAAATAGAATAATTGCTTCCATCCCTACACTCTTCTCCCACCCGCCCTGAGTACAGAGTGGTGCTCCCTTTCTGGGAGTGGCCAGCCTGACGAGCTGAGTGGAAACCCTGGCTATCCCATTTCCCTTCATCTTGTTGCTCGAGTTTTCACTTGGCTCGCTGCCTGCTTCTCCCTGGACTCACCGCCGACTGCGCATTAGACGCCGAGGATAGGGGAGCAACTTGCAATCGTGCTCATAGCATCGGTTGACTCTGCTGGGGGATGAAGATGAGCCTTTCAGGGATGAGCCAGGCACCCTTTCAGGAACACCTGGGCAATCAACAGCAGGATTGGGAAATCTGCTCTCCAATTACCCTCGGGACTGGTTGGCCATAGATCCATTAACAGTACATTAACATTGACTTGTTAGGAGTGGCACTAAAGACCCAACAGTTTTACTAGTCCTATTTCTTAATTACATTTAGTTAATTGAGAGAGAGAGAGGAGAGAGAGAGAGAGAGAGAGAGAGAGAGAGAGAGGGAGAGAGAAGTGCCTATGGGGTTCTAGCTTTGTAGGATCATGAAAACCTAGGCAGAGTGGGAGATGAGGAACTATTTCTACTCCCTTCACGTGATGCCAAGGATAAAACAGGTGCCATGTTTTTGGGAAGGGGTAGGGGAACAGAGACATAAGTGTTGAGGGTGGGGTAGAATTCAGTTGCCAGAGATTGTTATCGAGTCAAGTTATGGGAAGCCCATTCCCATGATGCCTTACGAGGTCGTGGGATTTTTAGGGAACCCCAGTCTTAAATTGCTGCCTCTATGGCTCGTACATGGCGTGAATGTGTCCCCCACGGGTTCATGCGTTGGAAGGTGGTGTGGAACCTTTAAAAGCAGGGGCCCAGGGGGATGTGATTAGGTCACAGAAGGCACTGTCCTTGGGAGGAACTGAGGCCGAGGGCCATTCTGTTTGGACTTCCAGCCTGCAAAATGAGAGCTAAAGAAACATCTGAACTTCATTATAGGTCACCCAGACTCAGATATTTTGTTATAATAGTGGGAAATGGACTAAGACACTGCCCCATCACAGGAGAATACACATGCCTCACCAAACCACCAACTGTGTTCATTATTCAACATCTAAATGAGACGTCAGAGTTGGATTTGTCATCTGCTCTTTTTTTGTGGGAAAACAACTTTATGCACTGATTTAAATTTAGAGAGTGTGTGGCACCTCTGTCTTCAAAGGTGAGGAAACGAAGTACCTAGAAGTGAAGGGTCCACGTGCCTCAGGGAGTTGGAGGCGGCTAGGAGAATGCAGGGCTCCCGGCTCAGGCTGAGCCACTCAGCTCTCTCCAGCCACCCTCCTCACCTGCCTTTCCCTAGGTCATGGGACCATGAAGTTCAAGAGCGGGGAGGGCCCTACAGAACGTGAACGACAAGTGTCTGCACGCTACATGAGGCAGAACGGAAAGAATTTCCCCGTCTCTTGTCCCAGTGCAGTGCACACTGACCGTGTGTGAGACACACTGAAGTTGTGACTTTTCCACAGCCTCTCAGCTACAGAAGAGTGAAACAGGGCCTGCAACAGACCTTTGGCTTTCAAGGATAACCCTGTGACCTGACGTATGCCTCTGGGGAATAAAGGGAGACCCGGAAGCCGTGCAAGTTCTATTGTGGGTTATCACAAAAACGGGACCAGAGCCGGGTCACCTGATTTCACTCTCCCTCTTGGTTCTCCTGTCACCAGCAGCCTGCCTTGGGTAAGAGACCCGAGTTCTCTGTGAGTGCGCTGTGCGCTGGCCTCACACAGAAGGGCCTCCTGAGCTGCTCCTGGAGCTCGTCTCTGACCTCAGCCCCAGCAAAGTCACCTGTCCTCCTAGTTTTATATCATGTATAACTGTCCAGACTACTAGCTTTAGAGCTTCATCACACGTCCGCCTCGGGCTTGGCCACCTGATTACAGATCCCCCTGGTACGGGAAGACCCTCCCCCGTAACAGCTCACCTATGCCCCTCCCACATTTGCCATCACCACCGGCTACTACGTCTGTGCTTTCGGGGGTGCAGGTTGTACCAGGACACGGGTCACCAGAGGCATAAGATGAAGATGAACAGGAGCGTATTTATCAACAAGCTACATGGACCCTCAGTGTGGCCACGGCTGGTGCTCCCAGAGGTGACATCAGACAAGGACTCGGGAAGTCACCGAATACCCCGATGTCTACTCCAGCCACGAGCCAGCTCCTCCTTTGTGCCTCAGTACCTTTTCGGTCCCCCCAAGGTCTCAGTGACGACCTCTACTTTCTGTTTCTGCTGTTTCATTTCACTGGGCTTGTGGAACCCTAGAGAGCGCTGTTACTCTGAGCTACTTTCCTGGTCCTTAGCCATACCTGGAGTCGCTTGTGGGTCTATTCCATCCTTCTGACCAACCTTTTATCTGCTCATAAAAGGATATCGTGTATCAGTTCATCCCACCTGTGAGTATTCCTGCTGAAGTGTCTCAGATGGTGTTCACCAAATGGGAACACAAGGTTACACTTTCGTCAGTGTTAACCTGATGCTACATTTTGAAAAGTGGGATTTGGCGACTTATGGTTGTTTTCTGATTTTTATCTAAAAAATAACCTTCTGTCTGACAAACAAAGAATACAGAGAAAAAGCAGAGTACTTGCAGAACTCAGTTTGATGTTACAGATTTTGGGGCACATGTCTGCCATGGGGCTACGTATCTAAAATGTACCCCCAAAAGTTTCATGTGTTTAGAGGTGGAACTTCTGGAAGGTGGTCAAGTCATGGGGTTGCTATACTCATCAGTGGATTAATCAGGCCCCTGGAAAGTTCACAGATGAATGAGCTGAGAGGAGGTGGGGCTGGGTTGAAAGAGGCATGTGACCTGGAAGGGTGACGCTTGTTCCCAGCTCCTCACTTTTCTCCCCGTTTCCTGACCACCATGGGCTGAACAGTTTCTTCTGCCAGACCCTTCCACCATGTTGTTCTGCCTTAAAGCCAGTTGACCATGGACCGAACCCTCGGGAACCTTGAGCCAAAGGAAACCTGTCTTTCTTTAAACTGTTTGTGTCGGTTATTTTGTCCCAGCATGGGAAAATGCCTAATACCATGTCTCTTACCCTCTTTAGATTATAATCAACATTAGAGTAGGGGATCAAGTCCCATTCATTTTGATGCTTGCCCAGTACTTCTTTCCCCATAAATGTGTGCCCAATAATGGACTCTTTTAGGCCTATTTTACTGGGACTTTTATTGGGACCATACACCAGCCTTTATTTTCAAGACCGTCTTACCCACTCTAAGGTAGGCAAAGATTCCTCCAGCTTCACAAAATTCCCATCTGGACTTGATTATGCCTCAACTGCAGGGGCCACACAAAAGAAGGTGAAAATGACAGGTGGGTTCAGGAGGATCTGGATGTAATTTGCATGCAATTAGCATATGATTTGTGTCATGTATTCTGAAGAAGTAATTTTCAAGTTAGAACTGCATCGCTGCCTCCCTTAATGCTGTCATTTGCCCATCCGCCTCTTTCTGACTCCTCCTGTTCATGGCTCATCCCTGGATTCAGACTCCTCACATCTGGGGAGAATTCTGGGGAAGGTGAAGCTGATCAAGGACATGAGAATCTTTGCAAATAATCAGACTGATGTGGAGCTGGGAGGCACCCTGTGAAAGCCATCGGTCCCTCCGGCCTCAGCCACTGTGTGTAGCTGCTGAGGCTGGATCACAGTCCTGTTTCTCCTTCTTTGGTCTTTATGTGACTCATTCTGCTCAGGAAAACAACAAGACCAAGATGGCTGCTGAGCAGCTGTTAACCCACTGACCTAGTGAGTGAAGGGACTAGCTTTTGCTAAGGCTGCTGTGTCTGCAGGACGCGCAGTGACTGGGAGAATCCCCTGGCCTCTCTCCCTACACCGCAGCTCCCTGTGCCCCGGCCTTCTCCGCTCTGCTTGCACACAACCAGGGCAAATGCAGGCTGGGGGCATCCGAGAGGAGGACTTGCTTGGATGCCACCCAGCAGAGGGAGAAGTGGGTTTTGCAGGCTCTGCAGGCATTGTTTCAGCCTCCCAGAGGTGACCAGTTTACAACCTGAACCGGTCTAAGACTCAGGCCAGGATTTTATCTCCTTCTGGGGCCCTATCTTGGGTCTATCTCTCCCAGGAACCAGCCCAGCCTGGAGGCCTGGGTTATTTACACCTCTCTGGCACCCTTGAACAGCAGACTCCATGGGCCTGAGAGCAGTAAATCTACCTCCTAATCACACCAAGCTGCTTCGCGCAGTCTGGCCCATTCCGGTGCGCAGTTCATCACTCGCTGAGACAGGGCTGCGGACGAGGGAGAAACCTCCGGGAAGTGGCTGGCCCTGGCAGCTTCCCTTTGTCTCCCTGCAAAAGCCCGCAGGGACCCTGCCCCTGCGTAGCAAGCCCGGAGGTCTCTCTTTGAGATGGAAAAGGTTCTGAACAAAGTTACAGATTAGAGAACTGGAAAGCAGGGATGGGTGTGAGCACTTACCTGCCTCTCAGACATGACGTACAGGTAGCGCTGATCAATGGAGAAGGCCATGTCCCGCAGGATGGGGCTCCCATCTTTGAGCACAGAGACCATCTCGTACTGGACCCCACCATGGGGCGGACCATCAGCTCGAATCTACAAGAGAAACAAGGGTGTCCTCAGTATCTCCATCAGCTTTCCCGACGGGCTCCCTCCTTCTCCCTAGAGGAAGTGGCTTACTGAACACGACTGCTGCTCTGGGGAGAAGAACCACTTACTCCAAACATGCAGTTTTCAAGCAAGTGGGGTTCCCTCACAGTCTAAGTGCGCTGTGCTCTGGGTCGCTGAGGGTGGCTTCTTTGTCTGTGCTCGTACGCCCTTTGGAATGATTCTGTCCACCCTTCTGTGACGATTCTTTTCTTTTCTTTATTTATTGGCAATGGGGCTCGAACGCAGCACCTTGCCCTGTCACCGAGCTGCAGCCCCAGCCCCTCTGTGATGATTCTTGTGTGCATCTGTTAATACTTCCAGTGCCGTGTGATCATGTGTGCAAGCGAGTGTGTGCTTACACACACCTACCAGCTTGCCATGGGAGAGTCAGCACCTCTACAAGTGCCCTTGCCTTAGGCAGATGCAGGATGGTGGATGCGTGCAAACCATCAAAAAGCAGGCCACTGAGAGACGCGGGACTCCTGGGCCTCCAGAAGTCTTTCTTCCTCAAGGCTTGGGCTCTCAAAGCCTGCGAAGTCACCCAGTGGCATGGGGTGGATCCCTGCTGAGTCTCCCCAGCCACTGCAGGACAGCAAGAAACACTCCCATTTCCCAGCCCTGGTTGTACGGTTGAATCACACGGGAAGTTTTAAAAATACAAATGCCAGGGCCAGATTTGTTCCTCAGAAAATCTGGATGGGGTCGACGCACCCTCACTGAGTTTTAAAAGCTCCCCAGGTGCATTAAATGAGCAGCCAGGATTAAGAACAGCAGTATAATCCAGCGTTTCCGAGCCTGTGTGCCCTTGTGCTTGAGAGCCTGGCTGTGTACGAGACTGGACCCTCCTCAGAATTTCAGGCAGGAGTGCAGAGGGCCTGCACATGTGGAATTCTAGCAAACTCCCAGGAGCTTCCAATGCTGCTGGTGCAGGCCCTGAGAAGTACTGGCTGAGGCTGACTTCTGCATACATAGTACCGAAACTCCAAGGAGAGAGGACCTGGGGTCACGCAGACAGCGGGGACAGGGTGCCTTGGTTGGAGGGCTATCTATGCTCAGCTTCCTCTCCCAGCCAAGCACTGACCTCTGACCAATGCTCCGTGCCCTGGCTGGTTTTCTTGGTCCTCTGTTCACCTACACACTCTCTAGCTCAAGCCCCACCTCCTCCAAGAAGTCTTCCGACTTCTCTAATGGCTAATTAACTGCTCCTAT